CCCCCAGGCCGAGCCAGCCCCAGAGCCCACAGGTCCGGTGTTACCCCAACCTGGCCGCTCAGCTCCAACCTCAAGTCCCAGGTGCTTCCCTGTGGTATTGATGAGATCAGTAGTTCCAGTGTCTGGAGTGGGGGCGGGTCCATGAGGCCTGTACCTGTTACAATTCCCCCCTTTTGATTTTCATCCCACCATATCCCACAGATTTTAGGGTACAGTCAGTCACCAACATTGTCCATGAATGTCCATTAGGACGGCCATAAGTGGAAAATAGTCCATTAGTGCATGTGAAAGGAAAAAAAAAAAAAACTTCTGGTGTATATCAAAATCACAGTAACAGAACAAAACAAAACTTTAAAAGCTGCTTAAGTTTCAGAGGACACACAGTGTCACCAGGAACACCGAGAGGAGAACGGGCTGAGTTTTGGGGAGGGTCTTTGCTCTCCCAAGGGAGCAGCTCCTAATCTGTGGGTCAGGGCACAGCTGCTCCCTCCGAAGAACTGGAGAAAAGAGTTGACCCATCTTCCGTGGGAATCCCATCGACATTTCTGCCCACACACCTTCAAGGAGCATGCCCTGGAAAGGCAACTTCTGAGTCTCCTTTCATCCGTTGCTCAAGCCTTCCCAGAGGAGGAAGAGTTGGCGTGTGTGGCCAGTGTGAGCGATGTTCAGAGGAGAAGGCACAAAAGACCATGGGCAAGTCAAAGACCTTTGCAGAAAAGTCATAACTAACAGAAGCAGGAGCTGAGAATAGGAGAAGTCACTGAGGTGAATGCCCCAGTGGGTTACTAGGTGCATCAGCACCTAGTAACACACCGTGAAGCCTGCAGGCTGGAGGACTTCAGGGCAGGGCAGGTCCATACATCCTGAAATTGTCTGGAGGCAGCAGGACAAGGCCCAGCTGCTGAGATGGATTAGTGCTTCTGTCTGAAAGTGAAAAGGAGAGGAGAGGAAGAGGGAAGGAGGAGGGGAGAGAGGGAGAAGGAGTGGGAAGGGGGAAATAAAGGGGAGGGAAGGAGAGGGCAGAGTCTGTACCTCATGTAACCCCTCGTCCCACTTTCTAACTTATGACAAATGTGGACATGGGAGACCGTGATAAAGCACCAAATAGAATTTGAACAGAAAACCCCACAATGTCAAAGGTTCCGTAGGACGGATGACTTGATTTCTTTGGTAAATAAATAGCCATAAATACAAGGGAATTATAATAGACTAAAAGAAGTCTAATAGACATTACAATCAAATAGACCTTATTTGGACCCTGTTTGAAAAAAAAAAACAGTTGGAAAAGATACTGAGGTTCTCAGGAGAGGAAAAGATGGACTAGATGTTAGATAATATGAATGAATTACTTTTTATTTTGTTCAGGTTATTTTTTTTTTTTTAAGATTTATGTATGAGTACAGAACTGGGGTACAGGCCAGAGATGCAGGAGCACTGAGAAGATTCACCAGAGATAGAGTGGGGAGCAGAACAGGCAGATGGAGGAAGTCTACTGCCAAGGGGAGCAGCAGGAGGGTCAGGAGAGGTCTGCAGGCCATGTGGGTCACCTCCGGGGTGGGGACCAAACTTGCACTAAAGCGGCTGTGGCCAACTTGCAGTGCTGCGACCTAACCCATTGCGTCACCAGGGGGAGCCAGGTTTGTTACGCCTTAAGAGGGACCAATGCTGAAATGTTTATAGGTAAAATTAGTAGGTTTTCTAGGGTTCACTTTAAATATTCTGGGGGAAATGTGGGAAGAGGTATATGAAATAAGAAAGGTGGAATGTATATCAGTGAAAATAAGCACGGTATGTAAGATCAATCTGCTGATTTCTCTATTTTGTGACTGAAAATTTTCATGATGTAAACTTAAAAACAAATTTGAAATATTTTCCCGCTGCATGCCGTGTAGTGAGCTGGACTTCAGTTCTTGTGCAGTGAGCAAACCAACTTTGATTTCCTCTCTGCAGACAGAGCCCTCTGCTCTTTTGTTCTAGTACTTTCTGTGCCTACAACTGGATGTATGAAGTGAGGTCATTTAGGTCCTCTCTAGCCTCGAAAGTATCATCAGTCTCATTTTCTTGGCTTCAGTTCCAAATTGCATTCTTCAACACAATTAGTCCAGGACTCTACTTTGAAAAATAAAATTGACCCTTTGAATGTAATTTAGCCGGGATCTTTGTGATTCTGTTCTATCATCAGACCCCAGGATGGCAGACAATCCTCTACACCTGACCCCCCCCCACAACAGGAACAGGTCAGGGAGGGGAACCTCAGAACTGCTGCATCAAGGGAAGGTATTTTAAGCATAAAGGAAAAACTGGGCATGCTCCCCAGTTAACAGGAACAGATACGTGAGCCATTTGAAAAAGTAGGATTAAGGGTTAGGGCAAACCCCTACAAGAATAGAATAGGTCCAAGGGTTGTGGGTGTAGCATACAAGGATCCTGACAAGTGCAGGATGCTTGCTCTCCCTGGGGCAAAAGGCAAAATATCACAAGGTGTGACAGGGAATGGGCGTGGAGGGTGGACTGTTGACTGATGTACTTTAGCTATAGGAAATTCCCACAGAGCTCTTTCTTCTGTTTAAAGCTCCTATTCCAGTTTTACTCTATAACTGATTTCTTAACATTTTTTTTTTGCTCTCTAAACATGCACACAAACTTCATGTACATATATAATTGTGGTAAAGCTGCATTTGTACAGAAAAATATTACCATCCTATTCCATGATTTGAAATTAGTTTATTAATTGTATCAACACATTTACTAGGGCTTTAAATAGCCAGACTAGCATTTTAGCAAATATTTACACACGATGATAATTACACACACATTTCAAAAATAGCTTTAGCTATGACAATAGCTAGAGATATTTTCATGATAATCACAAAAGAGAAAAGTATCTAAAGAGAATTCGTGTCCCTGGATTATTCCCATGGAAATAAAAGTGGTAGAACTTGTCTAATGCCCAATATAGACATGATTTTTAAAAGCATATGTTTTCCTAAAAGTGCTCCCATTTCCCCGGGACTTATTGATAATCACTAATAGAACTTGATTATGTTGATGCATTCAGTACAGCTCTTGAAGCAATGCACAGCAACACAGACCTAACACCCCAGCACCCCAAAGGTGTCCCACTATTTCTGCCTGGCCATGTCTCACTGGTCTCAACCATATCACTCAGGTTTGCTTTAATCCACCAAACAGCTGGTGGGAAAGCACAGTTTAATCAGCTCAAAGCAAAATTTGAAAAAAAGAAAAACAATTTTAAAGATAAGAAATGTAAAAAAAAAAAAAAAGAATATTGAAGAAAGATACAAATAAAGCCTTGACTAGGCTGTGGATCCTGTACAAACAGGCTGTGCAGTGCAGCAAAGAGCAGGTCAACAGCTGGTTTTCTCTTATCTCAGTGCCAGCTTGTGGGAGATGGCAGGCAAGTGGTGACCTTCAGATTTCCTAAGAAATTGGCGAGACTCGATGTTCTTGGAGGTGCCAATGTTTCCAATTCTACATCTGGACCCTTCCCTGAAATGCACAGGTCCTTATATTCATCCAAGAAAGGATCTCCATATGGGTCACAAATGAGTCCCAGCAGCTCAGTCCTGATTTTGGCACCTGATTACCTCAATACTCAATATTGAGGATGGAGTTCCATTGGGGGAGGCTTTCTCGACTTCCCAGAAGTTACAAGGAAAGTATCAGCAGGCTGGGGCCCTCCCTGGTGGTGCAACCAGTTGAAGCACAGCACTATGAAGCTATCTGAGGCCACTGCAGCGAGAGTTCGATTCCCGGCCAGGGAGCTGACCCACAGAGCGTAGGAGACCTCTCCTCTCCTGCCCTCTGCTCCCCTCACTAATGTATTTCAATAGGTCTGCCTGTTCTGCTCCCAACTCTGTCTCTGGTGAATCCTTTTACCATCCTGCACCTCTGGCCTGTACCCCAGTTCTGTATGCATACATAAAATAAATCTTTAAAAAAGAAAGAAAGAAAAGAAAAGAAAGAAAGAAAGAAA